GCATTTACAACACAGAAAATATCAAAAAGCGTACGCTTCGGCCCGATCACAGTTGCATTGCTCTTCGTACCGTTTTTGATGGTTGAGTTTGATAAGCTGCTTTGATTCGCTACAATTTTTAAAACAATCAAAGACTAACAACCAACAGTGTAATAGTTACATCTTTTTTCACTTCAGAGTAACTAATTTCATAAAACTACGGCCAAGCTTGTCTCAGCCATACTTTCTTCACCGCTTCCTTATCAAAAGCAAAGAAATAAGTCTTTTTTTGCTTCAAAAAAACATACCATTTGTGAGCCATATCAAGTCGTTTCATTAACTTCTTTCTGTTTTGTTCTGCTAATGATAATATCAGTTCTGTCCTCTAAAAAATGATGCGCAAGAGTTCCGATTTTCCAAATTTGATAAATGTTTTAGTAGAAATATCGTGTTATAAGTGAATATTACACCATATTTTCTAGCGACTATACTATATTTATCGTATCTTTCTATTTCATATTCCGTATTTTTTCATTCACCTCGCTCTGTATCCTCTTAGCATACAGTTTACCCTACGGAATAAAACCGATCGGACAACTAACCTCTTTTACATATTTTGCAAATGCAGCGAAAGCGTCATCTGGAATAATTTTTGATGATGAAGGCACTGCCCTGAAATTATGAATTAAATTAGAAATTTACAGATTCAAAAATAGTGGTAATACAAAAATTGTCGCCTGTTTCTGATTCCGAGAGTACCTTTGATGAGGTGAAGCATTAAGTAGATCCCAGACAGTCTGGTGTTTTTTCTTGAAGGATTTTTCTAGTTTCAGCACTTTACTACTAGCTGCCAATTCGTCAACAGTTGCAAATCTCATTTCCATATCATCCAGATAAAAGCGCTCTTTCAGCTTTTCTGAAAGCAGCGCCTGCATAATCACTGGCATTTTTTAAAAAACTCGCAAGTGAGACCCAAAAATTGAAAAGCACTTTACCCTAAATAAGAGAGCAGCACTTGCTTGCGTTTTGTTTGTTTTAATGAAAGATAGCTGTGGAAACACAGCTTGGTCGGATTGGGATGCGAGTTTTGACGACTGTACCTAGCATAACAGGGTAAGAGTCTTTGTGAAGCGGTAGGCTAGGGATGCTGATTTAGGTCTTAGAAGGGCGTAACAGAGGGGAGAGGACGGGAATATTGGCTGGAAAAGAGTTGAAATCTTGCATGAAGGCAGGAATTGGAAACAGATATGGGATTATAGAAGAAGCTACTGTGCTTTTATAATGGCACTAAGAGCTGGTAAAGCCAACAGCAGAAGTTTATTGCTTATCAAACTTCATAAAGCAACCAAAAATTTGAAAATATGCAAAATGATTGACGCACCGGATTGCCTGGGCTTTTCGAAGTTGAACTGCTTCATCCCATCCCTGTACAAACTAGCTTCTCGAGATAAGTCACTGCCAAAACTGCTTACGCTCATCTAAAAACAATATCATATCTTTCAGTTACAAATCTCTCCTTGCATCTTATGCTTTTTATCAGTTTTTCATGCAGATTTACCCTGCTCTGTTATAGCTTAAAAATTGCACAGGGCAAGAAAAAGCGTGCATGTATGTGTGCATGCAAGCATGTATGTTTGGGCCGCAATTTTAAAGCAAGATTGCTCACTTTTGTGTGTTGAAATATTGAAAATTTTTAGCAGTGCTTCGCCGCGAAGCTTTACGTCTCGCCATTTTTGCCGGCTTTAACATGCATTTGTCATCTACGAAGCACTTCTTTACCCAGTACGTTCCATGCTTCAATACAAACAAACTAGGCTTCCGATACAGGTGACATCCCAGCGAACGCACCTTTGCTGGACTAGTTGTTGCGTGAATACTTGTATCTTCAAGCTTCGCTTAATATTTAAGCGGTGTTGCAGGGTATTGCAAAAATGGCGCAGCGGCAGCGAGGATATTTGTTGCGATCTCTGTGGTGAAAACACAGATTCTTTCCGACCTTGTATTTTCGGAGTTTCCTATTGTTATTATAAATAACCACAATTGCTTTTGTAAACTAGACTGCACAAACCTTATAAAACTCCTGCACCCGCAAAACATATTCAATCAAGAACAGTTTCATTTCATAGATAACTGGTAGTTTTAGAATACAAACGAAAACTGCTATAATTTTTGTAGCCATCGAATTAAATACCGATACCC